ACGATGCTGGTATAGTCAGCATCGTCAACGATTATGCCAGCGAGGGAGAAGACAACCATGCTGAAGAAGAGACAATCTCTTAGCAGTGCGCACGAAGCGCACAGAAAGACAAAACAATGAGTCAGCAGAGAACTTCCTGCTGACTCGAGAGGCGATAGTCCGCTTCGTTCAAGACTCCATCGCAAATGCGGTGGATCGTCAGAAACGAAACGCAGACAAGAATGGAAGAGCGAATGTTCTTTCATTTAAAGTTAATGACCTAGTACTACTGTCTACGGTAAAATTACCTGGACATGTAGTCCCTAGTGTCGGCAGTAGTAAACTACTGCCGAAATACATTGGCCCCTTTCGTGTGTTGCACCGCAAGGGCAATGCGTACACGATCTAGTTGCCTCGCAGGATGCGCACGCATTCTACGTTCTATGTTGGTCGTCTCCGCCCGTACTATCAGCACGAAGCCTCTTGAGAGAACGGAGACAGCCGGCACGCTCAAGAATCCCCAACAGATTCTTGTGATCACGGACGAAATGCTCAAGTTGGTCCTTCATCGACGCGGTCTCGCGACGAGACTCTTCTAGCTCGTCGCGCAAACGATGCTTTTTGCGTTCGCTCTCAAGCTGAGCGAACGCAAATTCTGATCGGTCCTTCTTTCGATCGGTACGGAGATGTCGTACGGTCGCCATCAAGTCGTGCCGACGATCGTATTCGTGATCTACGCCCGCCCTCATCTCGGTCAGGTAACGCTCATGGTTACCCAAAGTCTCCTGCAGACCCGGCGGTTGAGCCGGACCTTGTCTTTTCACCGCCAACAGAACCACTGGTGGATTCTCACGGCGGTAGACGCTTTCTTGTGGAGCGTATTTTGGACCACCGTGACGATTCAGAATCAAGGACGAGTTACCTCGTCCGGTGGCGTGGGTATCCACCTTCCTTTGACAGCTGGGAACCTCGTTCCCAGCTGAAGGCTGACGTTGAAGGTCTCGTCCACCAGTATGACGAGACTCATCCGATTGGTTCTGGGCCCATCGGTAAACACGCGCTTTTGGCGCTTGTAGACGGGTTGAAAGTTTGCTATCGCGTCCCGCATCTCCGCCAAGATGTTTGCCCTACTCTAGGGCTAACTTAGGGAATACACGTACCTATGTGCACGTTGCGAGTTGTCAACACAACACGCACAAGGATCACCCCAAGTGAGGCAAGGAATGTCTGCCTCACTTGAAAAACGATGCAGCCGGTACCTTTCACCGGTTGGCGTTCGCTTTTCGAACTTGATGCGTATCGCCTCAAGCTTCTTAAGCCACCCTTCTCGTCCAAAATTCTTGACATTTGGGACGAACAAGTTCCCCGCCGCCAAAAGCGAGTTCTTGTCACGCTTTTGGTTGCCATTGTACCATCGATGCTTCAAGAAAGCATCGAGATAAAAGTCTTCCTCAGCGCGAAAGTTCTTCGCGCTGGAACTCAAGCCGTGAAGCTCGGTTGCATCGAATAAGGGTATTCGATGGTGTTGGCCTGTCTCGTGAGACAGGCTATTGATGAGCCGTTCGGGCAAACGCCACGGCTTCAACTCATCACGCTTCACAGTGGTACCCTTGTCGGTACCACGGATCCCAGATTGACGACGGCTCGCGCCATCGTCATCACGCTCGTGCGAAGACGCACGAGTTGATCGCGGTGATGAGTCATCCTACTCATAACCGAATATATCATTACTGCCGAACAGACTGTATTGCATTTCACGAGTCCGCTCGTTCGACAGTGCTCTTGACGAACGATGAGGCACCGCCGATGACCGGGATGCCTCTGGAACGTTGCGCGAGTCAGGCACATCTGACTCGCCAGAATGATGACCTTATTGCCAAGGTCATCATGTGCACGTGGTGCGATAGCGCGTGCGTCTGCAGCACCTTCTGCTGCAGACGGAGAACAAGCAGCAGACGACGAAGCGTCTGCCGCAGAGGCTGGCACAGCAGCAGGCTATGTGGTCTTCGAGTCACCTCGCACAGACATGTTAACTATGCGAGGCAAGGTCAGGAGTGAATGGGCCTGAACAAACAAGTGCTCCCTGTCCCAATTGTGGCCAACGGGTAGCCGCCATATTTTCGATAGTCACACGGTGACTATCAGTTAGGGGGTGATGTAACGGGGCAGCCCGTTACATGAAAATTGTCATTTGAAGAGATAATGACAATAAAGGATATTATGTTGAATATGCTTTTAACAATATCACCAATTGTGGTGATATTGATGGGTCGACCAAAGAGTCTGCTCATTGGTTGATATCTTGACGATATCAACCCACCAATCGCCGCAAGACGCGCGCAATGAGTGGTGACGAGACGTCACCATACACTCAGTTATATTAACATAATTAAGTTAAGTCAAACAGAGAGACAGTGGTTAAAGACTTAATTATATTAATATAACAGCTCTACTTTTCCCTAAGACAGTGTTGCCTCTGTCTTACCTACCTCGTCCTCGGTTGCCTCGTGTACGCTTGTCGGTGCACGATACCCTTGCGTTAAGTTCACGCAAGGGTGTGCCCCGTTACATAACTCGCTGCCTGAACCAAGACTTCATTCTCTCTTCAAAATGTTCTTGGATGCGTAAAATCTTTCCTTGATTGATCCGGGTGTTACATACATAACCTCTTGTCGAGAAGGATGCACTAACGACCAGTGTGAAGCAATAGGTCCATGCTGATATAAGTGGTGTTCCAAGCGTCAAAGTTTGAGAAATACTAAATCGCGCTCGTTTTTGTTGGAGATGGAAGCTCAGTAGACGATCACTCGATGTGCTGAAGTGACCGTCACTGTTCTAAGCGGAGGCAGGTGCGTACTACTAGCAGATGTTGTGACAGGAGAAAGAAATAGGCTTCCAGAAGGATGTTCAAGGTTGATTCATTTTAGGTTAAATCAGTTAGCTAATTTTTAATGTGTATAGTTTTATAAGAGTAAATTTTTCTTTTCCATTTACTTCCTCGTTAATTGTTCCTCTCTGGTTACTGTAATCCGAACAGTATTAGCGCATGCGAGTTCAGTATTAGTAATCATTCCAAATTACTTTTCACTAACTACCACTCACCCTATGTACTAAAATATTGTGATTTAACTAGCCAATCACAATATTTCATAATATAGGGTGAGTGGTGGTTAGCGAAAAGTGAGTGGTGAATAGCGGCTCTAAATAATTGGGAAAAGCAATGTCCCAAATATTATTGTAAATATATAATAATTAAAAACAAAGTTAGTATACCTCAGTGGGGTGTTTTTGCTATTTACTTTTTATGATTCGGTGATTTTATTCTTATCAATGTAGAGTTTACTTTTTCCTGCAAATATTTGCTGAATATTTTTGATTCCCTTATCTTAAACTGTCTCCATTTTATCAATCGGGAAATTGCTTTTTTATTCCGTGGTACATATTTATCATTGTTTGGAGGGCTGTAATCTTCTCGTAGGAGATTGAGATTTTTTCATCTTATTGCGTAATTTTTTCCTTGTTGTCTTGTGCCTTTTTGTCACGCTTTTTTATTTCGTGGTACATATTTATCATTGTTTGGAGGGCTGTAATCTTCTCGTAGGAGATTGAGATTTTTTTCATCTTATTGCGTAATTTTTTCCTTGTTGTCTTGTGCCTTTTTGTCACATTACTCGCTCTTACTGGTATACAGTACCCGATACCGGTAAACTTCTAAAGTGAGAAGTTCACTTCGGTGACACAAAGTGACACATTCCGTGTTCATTTGGCCAAAGGATCACTTTATCTGCTGAAAAATAACACATTCACCATCAGCAGAAATCCTTACAAGCAGAATCGAAGACAGAATGAAAGTATGTGCCTCGACCGACGTCTCATGACGTTTTCCTGCTTCATTAGCGCACCATTTTGATCCTCACCACACGCGAATTGTGCGTATGGCCCCACGTGTTCAATAGATCGGTGCAGCGCAAATAGTATCTGTGTTGTCGAACTATATGCTTCGGCACAACAGCAGCACCAGACGTGCCTGTTGTACATTTGTGCGGGCTCGCCGGTGTTTTCGCTTTGCTGCGGCTCCGAGTTGACTTACGCGTAGTTATAGCATGTCTGCACGCTGCTCTCCTCTGTGTAAAGCTCCCGAACCGAATCGATTCTTGATTTAGCTGTGCGCAAAATCTAGTGGTGCAAACACTGCTCCGTTTATACCACATCAGTATTGGGATCCAAGGATCCGAATGCTGATGTGGTTGGTGCGATCATGACGCCGCTTAAAGGTAGCGCATCGCTGTGGTGACGTTCATGCTCGACAGTGCTTTAGACGTGGCGCTATGTTGTATCCAGCAGTGTGAAACATGCTTTGATAAAAACTGCCACGCCTGAACTCAGCGATTTATCGACGGTGGCGGCGCCCTTCGGCTTGGCTTCACTGCCACTTCTACTGATTTGCCTTATCGAGTGAGTATCGAAGAAGTTCGATTGACCAAGAGCCTCTGTAGATTATTGCCAAGAGGCTTGCACCGATATCTCAGTCAACTTTATTCACCTCGTGCTTATTTGCTCTGGTCATTTTTAACCCGTATCGAGGACGGTAGTCACGGGCTAACGTTTCGACACCGCGCAAGTGATGCTTCTCCAGCCACAGGATGCCGCCGCCATTGACCAAAAAACAACCAAATCGTTGACACGGGCCGCGGCATAATTTCTCACGAGTTCGTTGGTTTATCGTACTCGAGGCTGAAGATTGGCCTCGCCAAAACATCTTCGTTATGTTGGTTGTTCATCTGTCGTGGTACCTTGCGTGAACTCTTGCACCTGCGATGCACTGCTTCATCCTCTTTGACAATGAGTGGGCGAGAGCGTTTGCCAATGCCAGTCTCCTCGGCGCTTGATATACAATGAGCGTTTAGATCCTCTCAATCTGTCTGTCACAACTCGCAATTTTCCAATCGCGAATCCAGACTTTTCTGCTTCTTCGTCGGTCTTCGGTCTTCTTCATGTGACAAAAGAGGCCGACGTCCATTTCACGCGTCATTCTTTTGATTCAGCGCCACAATAATCACGCTTATGTTATCGTGGGCAAAGTATGCTTGCGCTTTAAGCACGAGCTCTTGTGCTGCGAGCTGGACGTCACCGTGAGTTTGGAGTTTACGCAATACAAAGTTCACAGTCTGTTGCGAAGTGAGGACGTCAAAGAGACCGTCACTGGCGAGCAGCAGAAACTGGTCCGAAGAATCCACCACGTGCTCGCTCACGTCAGGGGTCACGACCAAGTGACCATCCTGTTTGTGTGCCAGGTCGCCGAAGCCGCGTGAGATCTGAAGAATACCGTCCAGACGGCCATTGTGCACGAACCCGCCTGCTGCCTCGATGCGCGCTCGTTCAGCTGGCAAAGACGCTCTATGGTCCGTCGTCAAGTCGACTGCCCGCGCATCCGCAGTGCACAAAACTGCACGGCAGTCCCCCACATTGGCCACGTATAACCGAGTAGGCTGGTCCTCGTCTTCTTTAGCACCACTTTCATATCCCAACTCGCTCTTTTCGCCATTTTCAAGCTCCCGGATTTCCTCAGCTACTAAACCACCTTCTTCAGTCTCACTCGGTACCCGGCGTTTCTTGCGCTGCTTCGCCACCACAACAAAGACGCTCGCAGATCCCGAGAATGAAATCGGTTGCAGCAAAGCTTTCACCTCATCTCCACACACGACCTGGCCATCAATCTCACAGCACTCGCCTTCCAAAAGACTTGCCTCAGATGCTTCGGCTTTAAGGTAACGTTGCAATTCGTCAGCAGCCATAGTGCGCTTACGCTTAGGCAATACGCTCTGGTTTTGGCTCTCCAAAATTTCATTGTCCAGAGCCTCACAGACTGACGAGATACAGGCTACAGGGGACTCCACAAATCCATTTCCTTCAGCAAAGAACCGATGGTGCAACTCATTTTGCAATTTCACCGCCGTATCCGTGCCATTGTGGCCATCATGTACCGCGAAAAATGCTAACGAGGCATAATTATCCGCAAGTGCAGCTGGATACTGAGACAGGTCACAAGTCGTCTGTCCAATACTGCGGTCTTCCATGTACGATCGAGCGCCTTTCGCCTCTGCGTAACCCGACCGAATCGCGAGCGTAAGATTTTCACGAATTTTGCTGCTTACGTACACCTGCACAATATCCAGTAATGGCACGTATACGGGCATAGACATGGCCATTGAGTCCGAGGTCTCCGACGCCGGTGACTTATATGCAAGAATGTCACAGCTGTCCACATCGAATGACTCTATCTCGGACGTTGCTGGAGGTCCAGTTATGGCAATGGGCGCAATTTCCTCATCGTCTTGGCTGATTATATCAAGTTGGTTAGGAGTCGCAATAAGATCGCTGAACGTGGTGTCGACGTCCACATCACACTCCACGTCAGAGTAATCGGAGCTATCCGAATCAATGCTTCCGCCAGAAAGACTTTCCATACCAGCAGAATGACTGTGATTGTGGCTGCTGCTCGCACGGCTGCTGTCACTCGCGCGATGGTGAAAATGCCGTGACGAAGAGTCGCTGCTTTTGCGCGAAATCCCGCAGTTCACTATACCGTCTTCGTCCTCATCGTCAATCTCCATCACCTGGACGCAATCAATGCCTTCCATATCAAACTCTTCCACATTGCCATCTTCCGTAGCCACAGATCGTAACGAACTGCTGACCGAGCTAGCACTTTCGTTTAAGGAGTGGTGACTACCACTGCGTCTGGCTAACGCGCTACCTATCGCACTCCCCATCGCACTTCCCATCGCGCTCCCCATGGCACTCCCGCTTCCCATGCTGCCCAATTTGCCCGCGCTTCCTATCTTGCCCGTGCTTCCTATCTTGCCAGCGCTTCCCGCCTTTTTAGGCTTTTGGCTCAACGATGATGAGCTCGTTGAGCCTGCACGGCCAGGTGGTAGCAACTCGCGCCCTGAGTTTGAGTGAGTGGGTACCCGTGAAGCCACAGAGAAGTCGTCATCACGTGCCTGGAAAAGAATCTTACGAGTCTGGTAGTCGCCTCCCTCGTCACGAAACACCTCCGATGTAACCATGAGGAAATCCCGCTTACGCGAGAGCGACCGCTTCATCAAGTCTGCGTCCGATGATCCAGCACTGGACGAGTCAACGCTTATGTGTCCAGTGCTTCCTGATGCACAAGACGACGATAAGCTTCCCCGCATGTCCACAATGTCTTCAACGGGGAAAGCCGCAAATTCGGACAACTGGGATACCGACGTGAATGACGTACGTCCGAAGCCTTCCAGACTGCCCGAATCCTTGCACATCCGACTCTGGAAACTATTCTTCTTCACTAGCAAAGAATTGTCCACGGATGCGCTTCGACCGGATGGAAAGGGGCGTGTCTTAGGTGAATCAAACGAAGGTGTGTCACGTCCTCCAGCAGAAAGTGACGAAACAGATGATGATGACGACAGGACAGATTGCTCGTTTACTTGCCGGAGTGAAGTGGATGATGACACGCTTGGGTAGCGGCTGCGAGCAGAAGGTTTAGCGGCCGGAAGTATAATCTCAGTCACCTTAGCCCGGGCCGCCGAAAACGCCATGCGCTTCTGCTCAATCAGCAATTCACGAGAGCGCTCTGATAGCTCTTTGTGGCCATCCATCAACTGCACACGTTTATGGTGGCGCCACGCGCATATGATATGTGAGACTTCATCATTCGATGCGCGACTCGCATTCGTCGACGATGTGCTACCGACTGTGGCCACTGAAGACGTGTTTGACGCCGTAGACGGAATGCGTGAGCCCATCGATCCCGCCACGGGCATATTGGTAGCAAAGCGCCCACTGCTCGTGCGTGCTAGACTGGGACCACTACCTTCCTGACGATCCTTCACCAACTGATGCGCTTGCGCAAGACTCTCCGTCAGCCGCTGATCAATACGCTCAGGTATGTTTTCAATAGCACGCTCACTTTCATCCATCGAAACTGTAAGATTCTTCTCTGGTGTCATCAGGCCAAGGGGATCGCTACCTTCTTTGGTGATCCAATCGTGTGTGAAGCATTCTTTTAAACTTATTCGCAAGGCCGGGTCCTTTGTAAGCATGCGTTGCAGCAGATTTTTCAAGTGCGGTTCCATCGTGCGCTCCACGTCCTTTGGAAAGCGCAACTCCACGCGCTGTACGCGTTCTGCCAGAAGAATCTCATTGTCCGCCATCCACGGCGGGTGTCCGATAACCATCATGTACAACGTAGCTCCAAGTGACCACACATCCACCGCCGGGCCCAGGTATGTAGCGTCGATATCAAACATCTCTGGGGCCATGAACGCGGGGGTGCCCTTCGCACCTGAGATGGTCTCAGTATCGTTCATAATCATGCGTGCTGTGCCAAAGTCGGCAATCTTCGCCACACTGTCCGAGCTAACGAGAATGTTTTCTGGTTTGATGTCACGGTGGATCACCTTGTGAAAGTGCAGATACTGAAGACCAGTCAAAAGATCGCGCATGTACTTACGAGCAATCGGTTCATTCAGGCGCCGTGCTTGTGTGACTTCCGTCATAAGACTGTGCTGCACATATTCTTGCACGAGATACATCTTCTGGCTGTTTGGGTCGTCAATGACTTCCACAAGCCTCACCACGTTGCGATGATTCAGCTTTTTCATAATGGCCACCTCACGACGCAGCACGTCATAAAGCTGATCTTCTTTTCCAGCCATGCGCTGAACAAAAGTCTTGTGCATAATCTTTACAGCGTACATCTGGCCGTCTTCCTGACTTTCACAGAGCTTGACCCGGCCAAATGTGCCTCGACCCAAATCACCCTTGATCACATACTTATTGACAACAACCTCGCCATTTTTGAGCCGGTGCTTGACAAGCTTTTTCGTCTCAGTCGCCTTCGCAGGAGACACGGGTGCCGGCGCTGGGACTATGACGGTACCGGACACGCTATCAGCTCTCGAACCTCCTTGGGGAGTGGAAGAACCCACACTGTTTGCTCGCTGTTGCAATCGCAGTCGCATTGCACGACGCGTCGCCTTCTCTACATATGCCTCCTGAATAAAGCGCTGGAAATGGTCGGACAAAAGGCACTTGTCGAAATCCTCTTTGGTCAAGTACAAGCACTTGACGGGCCCTACCGCACGAACTGAAGCCGTGCGTGGCTCACTGTAAATGAGTGACATTTCACCAAACACGTGCCCTTCGTACAGTCGCGTCAATTCCTTTTCGTACGTCGTCTTGTCGGGTCCGACATCCGTTTCCGACACAATCGCTTCGCCGCGCGTAATCATATAAAATCGAGTCCCTTCGTCTCCTTGGCGGACAATATACTCCCCGTCGCAAAAATTTGCAGGTCGCAAGCACTTGAGCACAATGTCCTGATCTTGCGGACTCAATCTCGCCAACAGCGGTACTTGTTGCAGCATCAGACTCAGATGTACCTGCCCGATGTGCCGAAAGTCTTCTTGTGTTAGATACAGCAGCTCCACATCGCCCACTGCGCGCACCGTGGCTGTACGTGGGTCGTCGTAAATCAGTGCAAGCTCACCGAAATAGTGGCCAGCTCGTAAATGAGTGATCATGCGCTCTTGTGTTTGTCCTGCACTGGACGGCGTCAAGCCAGTGATGCTATGACTACTCGTGGCGACCGTCTTGGTCACCACAGCTTCTCCCTTGGCAATCATGTAGAACCGTGAGCCTCGAGTGCCTTGTGCAACAATGACGTCGCCGTCCGAGAACTTGGCGGGCTTGAGCGCTCGCACCACCTGCTCCTGTTGCATCTGGCTCAAGTTCCGAAACAACTGCACCTGTTTCATAATCTCGTACACGGGCATGTTGTCCCGCAAAAAGGGCGTCAGTGCCACGGCTTCGTCGTCCGCGTCGTCCTCTTCATCCACGTCATCCGGCGAGCTGAGCCAAGACGCCCAGCCGGTCATGCTGTGCTGACTACTGTTGCTGACTCGTCCTCCGCCGCTGTGCATCGCCGAATAGGACACGCTGATATTTCCCGCGTGCGACGAGACGGACGAGCAAGCGCTCGCGTGACGGCCACGTTTCGGCAGCGACGGAGGCGACAGCACGGCGTCTTCCGGCTCGTCGAGCCAGTCGCTTACAAGCTCTTCGCCGCTGCCCGCGAGTTCCTCGTCCGAGGAGCTGGAGCTCGAATCGAGCGACCGCGAGTCTGAGCTCGACTCGTAATTGACAAACGACAGCGACTTGGCCATCATGTCCATGGACGGTCGGAAGCGCGCTAACTTCGGCGGCGCCATTGATCCGCGTCGCGTGAGCAGCTGCGCGTCGTCGGGCTTCGCATGGCCCGAGGGAGACGGACACGACTCGATGGAGGAGGAGGTCTCGATGTGCGAGAACAGGCCGTCTACTTCGTCGGTGCTGAGCGGTTGGTGGTGGACAGACGGCTCTTGGTCCAAAGACTGCGAGGTGTGCACCACTTCGATGATCTGCTGCGTAGTCGTCTCGCTCTGCTGCACAAACGTCTTGCTCTCTTCTTCCTCTCCTCCTTCTTCTTCTTCGACTCCTTCGCCTTCTCCTTCTCCTTCTCCTTCTCCTTTTCCTTCTCCTTCGCCTTCTCCTTCTTCTTCTCCTTCTCCTTCTCGCTGCACAGTCGTTGAAGCGCAATCACGGACCGCGAGCGCAGAGCGCTCCGCAGCGACGGCGGAAGACGAAGACGCGACTCGCGACGCCGAAGAGCCGTCCGCCGACGCGTCGCTGTCGCGGCGCAATGTGCTGCTGCGCTGCCCCATGTCGGCGTCGGGGACACTGGCGAAGGTGGAATGGGGGCGGGCGGGTCTCGACGCGGAGATTTGGCCAATGAGAACGCGTCCTCCACGTCGCGGCGCGCTTTCGGAGGGTGGACCGTCGTTCCCACTGTAGCCATCTCACCGCTGTGGGTGGCGGGTCCGTTGACGGCCAGTGAGTGAGTGCGTCGGCTGTCTGTCTGTGTCCGTTGGGCGCTGTCGGCGCCACTCCGTTTAGTGCGCGACAGTTTCGGCAGCGACTGCGCCGGGGGACGAGCGTGTGGGCCGCTGGCGGCAGACGGCCGTCTCGTACTTATGGGGAACTGGCTGCAGGACAGACCGATGGACAGGCAGAGGGCACGTGCGGTGCACGACGGGGCGGGAAGAGTTCGGTGTGTGCGCCTGCGTAGCGGCCGTTCATCGTACTCGAAGAACGGACGAAAGGGCCGCCGAGTGGGCCGAATTGGCAGCCGATGGGCGTTGGCCGACGGCAGTTTCCGCGGCGACGTCTTGGACGCTGTCGCCACGTGCACAAAAGAGTCGCAGAGTGTCAGCCGCCGTTTGGCCTCCGCGCGCTAACAAGAGCCACGCTGACGTCTGCGGCGGGTTCGATGGGGCCGTCTTGCAGCTGGTTGAAAAAACATAGCAGATGGGCCGCTGCATTGGGGCTACGACTTCGTGCGCATCGGTGGAGAAGGCACCGGCTTTGTTCATTGACCACCGGCTTCGGGGGAACGTCTGGGGGGTCGATCTGGACGGGCTACCGACGATACAATAGTGGCGACGCTGCAACAAAGAGTGCAGCGATATTGGGGGAAAGAAGACGACATCTGACGCGTTGGGAATGGGACACGGCATACTCTTGATGCGACCATGCAATCGGAGCGATCGGATGCCGGAATGCTGGAGGACGTAACGTGCTTACAGGTGTACGGTTCGAGTTCTCGATGGCTTCGGCACTCCGCCTGTGATAGTCCTGATCCGTGTCAGCATGTCCAGATGATGTGACAAAGCCACTCGAGTACGTCGCTGGCGTCCACATGAAGGCATTCGTGGAAGGCGACTGCAGGAGTCCAGACTTGGTCACCGATTTCATCTTGCATGGCGGTAAGACGTCGCCGTGGTGTGGATGTGGTTCATTGCTTCGCGGTCGACGAGCGTGTTCGTTGCTGACTGTCTGGACGTACGGCTGGCTACAAGCACAATCGCCTGCCCGAGTCGTCGACTGACTCGGGGGACTCACGCTACGGCAAACACTCGTAGTCCACAGAGAGGCACTCCTTCCGCTACTATGCTGGCCAAAACAAAGCGTTTCGGTCGACTCGAAGCCCATCATGTCCACGTCAGTCTGAATTTGTCGCCCTTGTCACAGTCGACATATTAATGCAGTAGAGGCAACAAGGCAGCAAGGGGCTTGACCCCGCCTCGTTGGAACACGCCAAAGCTCAACCATGTGTGTATTGAAAGTTTAAACGTGCTTGGTCCACAGCAGCTGCCGCTGAGCGAACTCGGCTTCTCTACCGTTACTGCCTCCTCACGCCAAAGTCTCTACGACATCCGAGATGCAAACTACTTGAGCCGATACGAGACAATCACCACGCACCGTTTACGTTTTCATAATGTTAAAGGTCCCCGGAGACGGTTTATACTGAAACGACCGCTCCCTAGTCATGCCAGTAAAATCGTTGTACTGCTTTTGCAGACCATCGGCGAGTTCGTCCAAGTCGTCCCGCCCTCTGACGTGAGTCCCCCTTAGCTTCTTGAGTAAGTTGTTGACATCTTCTTGCTGTGCTGCCGCCGGGAGCTCGAAGATTGTCGTTCCACCCTGATTGGCTGCATGATTGGGTCCCAAAAACAAAAGCTGAGCTACCTGATCAACACGAAGAGCCTTGGTTGGCTCAACCCGTCTGAGTTCCTCATTGTACCTGATCCACTGGACTGCAGTGTTCGGCTTTGTTGCAATCGATTCGATCTCGAGCGTCTGAAGCACATTGAAGGGATCCGGCCGCGACTGCTTCCACACGTTGACCAACACGTCAGATTCGGGCGGAAGTGATTCAGCGAACGCATGCTGCAAACGGTCAAAATGTTTGCTGGCAGCGACGTGTCCGAGCGAAAGGGCTAGTCTCTCCTTCTGGTCCGATGAGAGCTTCAGCGCTAAAAAAGCTAACAGCTCTTTTTCGCTGTAGTTGAAGTTCTTCGCTCGTAGCCTGTCAACATACTCCAGCCACTGTACGATGGCGCGAATAGTGACAGGTTTCTCAGGGCGAACCAGCTTGTTGAAAACGTGTTCCGGGTGGCGCTCTGCGAAAAGCCATATGGCTGCACTGATACGGTGTTGCAACTTCGCAAGGAAACATCGTTCCTCCCTTTGCTCGTTGTCGAGGCCGGTCCCGTCCGCAGCCGACTCGGGCAAAAGCCTTGGACCGACAGACGCGGTCGTGCCCACGACTTTGCCGTGTGACTTCAGCGATCCTGGTTCACCAGATGCGGCATCGTGAAGGCGTAGAAGAGTGCTTTGGTTGAAAGCGACAGCATGGGACCGAACATCGTCGGGGGCCACCGACGCAGCACTTCCGCAGAGAAATGAGCCGATGGCTGCGAGCACAAGAGAGCGCATGTGCAAGTTGGTGTCGAGTGGCTGCAAGCAAAAGTGAAAGTGAGAGAAACACGTGGCACTTCTTTCGGCTGCAACGTGCGAGCCAACCGTTGGTACGGTTGCAGGAGATCCGGTCGTCATCGTACTCTGCAGATGGTGACGGAGTATCCCATAAACACGATTAGGCCCAGTTCAATGAAGTTCGGCTGCTATTCCTGGGAAGCCTTGAAGCTCGGCTGCTATTCCTGGGAATCCTTGCACGAGCGTCATCAAGGATCACCCAGTCGGCGCCCCTCCTGAAGATGAGCGCATCACCGTAACCTTCTGGTCGGCGGATAGCTCCAGCGTGAACAAAATCCGTACGCACGCACGGCTAAGATCCAGTGCCGGGTGACGAAGCCTTTATCTCTACCACCGTTGACACCACAGGGTCATATAGCCACACGTGGCAGAGCCGTAGACCATGGAGGCAATTTCAGCTCGAGGACCGACGGGTTTGACACAGCCGAACTGCAGGTCGTCGAAGGCGAAAAGCAGCCACACAGATGGAGATATGTTTGGTGCACGGACGTCTCAGTGTTGCAGAGACAGACGCTTGCGACTTTACAGAGAAAGCACAATCCTGAAGTATAGTTTCATGCAGACTCTTTCCTGAATCCCAGCAGAAAGCGAATGTCCCACGAAGGGTTATGGACCCACTGATGGGTACGAGCGCTGATTGTCGTCGGCAGGTGCCTCTCTCATCATAGACCGATCTTTGGTACGTTTCTGTGAGTATCCAGACATCGAAGCATGTAGTCCTTTGCCATCCTACCTGTCTGAACATGCGGAGCACAAGTAGGTCAGATCGATTACGACTTACAAGAAAATGTCTAGCTACAACTTTGGATATGCGGCGCGTAAGGCTCATCACCATCACGTGCATCATCAGCTGATGCGTTGGCTCATAAATAGGGCCAGCACCTGAATATCGATGGAATAAATACCATCCAAGTGCGCCATAGGACCACCTTTCAAATTTGTCATCATCGAAGCACATTCGTACGTTGCAGCAGTGCGAATACTCGGGGTAGCGGATCATGTCGTAGATCGTCTACGAAGCCTCGAATGCGAGACACGGATCTGTCTTTCGAACCGATATGTCGCTCTCGTGTCGATGCTTTTGTTGAAGCGAGATGACGCTCTCACCATCTCGGGTTCGCGGCAGGGGGCAGCAGCGCATCCTCGGCCGTTCCGAATTAGGAACAATGCAAATGACGTCACAAATTGTCAATGTTGAGAAGACGATAGACTGTCCATCGTGTACGTGTGACTTTCCAGGAATTATCTGTACGAAAATCTGCCTGGTCTTCTGGCATGACTGCATTGTTTCCTATTCACTGGCGCATTCTGCCACCTCAAAACGCCAGGCTTCACGGGGACGGGCACCCCGTAAAGGGCGTATGCGACTGGTAAACGAAGCATGTAGTGCATACAGCGGGCATATGGACTTTGAAAGGCATTCGGCTATCCCGAACGAGCCGACTTGAGCCATTCTCGGCATGTATCGCCAGTGCTAAATTGTAACGGACAGCATCTTATTGCACTAAGTTCACTTTGCACTACCGAAATTTGCGCTTGGCGAACGAGCTGGTGACTCGAAGGCAGATCGAGAAGAAGTGGAAGATTGTTCGTGCCTGAGTGGACGGTATTGATGCCTCGCGACGTGTTGTATGCATTGGGACGTTGTGCCTCATGCTCTCCTTCTGGTTCGCACGCTGCGTTGCCTGGTGCACGCAACGTAGAGAAGGCCACCCTTTCACTATGGCCGTATCATAGGGGGCTTCTTGCTCAAGGTGAAGAAAATGCAAGGTAAGGGACCGGTGTGCCAGCTCTTCGGAGGACACCGTTGTTGTCCTTGAGCCCGAATTGAGAAGTCAGAAGATCAAGTTTCGATCTGCCTTAGAACTGCGACAAAACAACTCGATCTCTATCATTCGGGTCTTCCTGCCGACAATTGCTGTCGTGCATTATGGTTACACGATAGATGTACCCGCAGCTGACGAATGGGAGTTGGTAAACCTACTGCAGCGAATAAGCAAGAGGGCGCTAGCGTCTACAGCGCATCCGCACTTACGTGGTACTCAAACAGGTTTTTAACGACATGCACGCGAACGTTGCATCATAGCGACAACCATTGAGCGGCCCAAGCTAAGCGACATCGGTGTTCTGCACTGACGGCAGTGATCGCAAGGCTGCAAACCCAAGCTGGCTCTCACTAGCTTTCGCCGGCGCAATGCTGGGCACATCATCGTCCATGTATACTACCGAATACCTCCGATGGAATTGAACCTGAACAATGACGACGAGCGAAAAATTCAGCAAACAAGAGACAAGTGATCTGCGACGGGGAGCACGAAGGACTCGTACTATTATCCTCTACACCTGAGCGGCATCGATCAAGTGTCGAGGACGTGGAGTAAAAGAGGAGTAGACAGTCTATCGAACGATCCGATGGTGTACACAAGACGTCTGGAACGTTCTAAACCAGGCTAGCAATGCCGGAGTCGATCGACCCGGTGGCTGCACGTGACTCGCCGCTGTGTGCGATGCTTTAGAGGGTGAGAGGGTGAATAGTGCAATGCATTGCATGAGACGTGTCCGTCCACCTTTTGTGTAGCTTTCTGCGCTCCCGCGTCGCTTATGCTCGTAAGTGCTGAACACTTTGTTCGGTGATCGTGTTGCGGTGCGTCCACAACACCTTCGGTGGCTGTCCAAGGGCCGCAAGTGCCGTTCATTTCGGTCCGCGGATGATATGACCGCTGGAGTACTCCGTCTAGCTCCTTGCCCAGGGTTCACTTTTTCATGCTCGTAGGATTGTCGTTTTAGATGCCGGAGCTCGTGTCGGTGTGATACAGTCAGACGAATCTCCCTCAGAAATCTCTGAATAGCTGGATGGTCCTCAACGACGAGCTCCTTTCCCGTTGAGCTTGACGGAGTCCACTACAGCATCCTGGTACGCTAAGTAAGTGGAGGACGTTGCGGCGATCTTCCCGCGGAAGCCGTCTGGTTTTGTCTGAGAAGTAGGACCCGACGCCAGAGCGGCCACACCGTGTACTGTCCCGTCTACCCTCACGACCCATCGATGCGGCGCCCGGATCTCCGGCGGATTCGGTAGCGTTACTGCGCTCTGCATCTCGCATGTCTCAGCGATGCCCAGAGTGTCGAACATGTGCCATACCATAAAGATTCCGACACTTTTTTATCCGACAACTATTCCGACAAATAAATTATGTCTTTTTAATATTGAGGGTTTACAATTAGGGGAGCTACTAAATGGACGCTACATCCTTATGCACTGTATTTGATTATGCCCTGTGTTGACACTCACAACAGGCCATGCGCCAAGAACAAGTGAGGCTCAATCCTCGCTGAACGGTGCTACAGGAAGAGACGTGATACTGTACAAGACACGGCTTTTCCTGTAGTATCTATTGGCGTCTGGGATAATCAGATGCGACTAAAGGGTAAGTCAAACGGTCTGATGCTTTATTTCTTCGTACAAGACTAATTATCAGGCATGTACGTGTGGAGCAATTCATTTAATAGGTCAATCACAACATGCGTCAATATCGTAGCGCCTGCTAATTGACACTCAGTAACGAAGGGAACACAAGCGGTCGTGCAGTAAGTATATGAAGCGATAGTCGAAGTGTTGGCACGTGCAGTCTGACGGTATTGTTGCTGTTCTGTTCTCTATATCATGAGCAGTCCGTATTTATTGTTGCTATCTGTTTTTCTATCTCGTCTGCCGTCTGAGTTTTTCTTGCCGACGTTGTTGTTGCTGCTGACGATGATGCTAAAATCGCTGTTGCTGAGGCTGATGCTGTTGACGCTGATGGTGATGCTGTTGACGCTGATGCTGTTGACGCTGATGCTGATGCTGTTGACGCTGATGCTGATGCTGATGCTGTAGTAGATGTTGATGCTGGTGCTGTAGTAGATGTTGCTGGTGCTGTTGTTGCTGATGTTGTTGTTGCTAATGCTGTTGATGCTGTTGACGCTGATGTTGTAGATGTTGCTGATGCTGTTGATACTGTTGATGATGATACTGATGCTGTAGATGCTGTTGCTACTATTGATACTGATACTGATGCTGTTGATACTATTGACATTTGAATCTTCCACTCTTGTGCGATCGGTGACTATACATATAGAGATCGGAGGGTGCTAGTTTAAAAAGACAATGTCTTTTCAATAAATTCTGCCGCTCATCTTTTGTTTATAGAAGGATACTAACTAGATAAAATGCTGACGTTGCTATTTGATGCACTTATCATAAACAGCAGCCTGCTTTTTCTTACTGGATAGATATTGTAATGAGAGGTGCTTATGATGTCTTCTACTACTATTAATATGTCTTGTGATTTGATGGAGATAAGTCCGAAAATAGCTCTAGTTGCAAGCAACGCCTTGTACGCCACAATTTTCTTGCTTAAAGCTTTTTCAGTGAGGTTGCTGCACGTGCTCAACGTTGGCGCTAACGGACATTTCTTGCTTACGGGACAAGCGACATTATGGACGCCCTAGCGAAAGCATGCCACCTTCAGCACACAAGTGTAGCGTCCTGGTAGTCTATTGAAATCGTGGCAGTCAAGTCTATGTGCTACATGAGTATTAGAATCTCATCTTTCGTACATGATGCACCTTCCTTTATGATCCCTCCCTTCACTCTTGTCATGCATGGCCACTCCAGAGTGCGCGCCATCTCGAGTAGCTTGTCTTCCGCAATTGCTTTTTCTGTCGCGAAAAACCCGAGCAGCCACTTCTTGACTTGTCTGTATTAGGAAATCACAGAGTTCTTCGACAAAAATTCTCCATTGCTGCCCTTGACATAGGCGAGGTGCATGGCGAACTTCTCCATAACTGCGATGAAGCAGGCACAAGACGGGTCACTGAGGATGGATGCGTTCAGCTGTTCGACTGTGACGGAATCCGACGCGAGGAGTTTCTTGAAGGTGTTCACTGCCGTAGACATGGCCAACTTGGTGTTGGCTGGCACCAACGACCAAAGGCCCATGTTCCTGGGCTGTCTAGTTAATGAATTGATGCGTATGTAAATGTTTAAGTTCAGTTCAATGCAACTAATGACTTAGCCTTTGTATACTGCGCAGACGTACTTCAACATAAACCTCCGTGAGAATGTTATTGTGGAGATACTTTGCAGTAGCGTATGGCTACAATATTATTAAAATAAGCTAAATAGGCAATTAATTACTAAGGTGCCAACTTTGTCGGAATCTTTTACAATATGCAACATAGTATGCGTTGATTTTGGCATTTGTATGGAGATCAAACATATTTTTGGCATCATTCCGACAAATATGTCGGAATGATGTCGAAATGAATTTGCCCTACCCTAATAATCCGATTCGCTGAAACTACTATATGAAGGATCATGGATTGGCTATAATCAAATGACAATCTCCTATTGGTCCACCATCGCATACTGAGGGCAAATGGATTTTCGTTTGTCGGAGTTGAGATCATATTCATCCATATAATAATATGTAAATTCAGTGATGAGCACACATGTTTGCGCTTAGTCGACTGAAGCGTCATCGTTCATGTTAACACAAAGGAGAATTCGCTACCCCTGTGTCACAGAGATGGAGAAGAATGGACCGTTCTACTACTCCGGGTACAGATGGATGAAACAAGCTCCGATGTCAAATGCAGCACAAGCAACTTCATTCTACCATCATCCTCTGTCGCCGACGATAAGCGGACAATAGCTTTTGCCGCGTTCACCTCAGTGGGCAGCTTACCTCTGCATGTGTTGCGACCGTAGTCAACTTTGTGGCGAGTCGGGTCTTACATCATCACGAAACGGACTATGACTTGTACCTGAGAGTCGGTCGCACAGCAGCCGTTGTTGTGTACTTCGTGGCTTCCCCTCGGACCCAACAAGTAGGTGGTGCGTGTACTTGAGGCGCATACGTTACAACAGACCGAGCTGGTACCGAATTTGCCGAGTCGAACGGACGCTTCAGAGCGAGCGAAAGTAGACCTTTTCGTCATGGTTTTTGCTTCTGCAAGTCAAGTGTCGACAGTGACATTCAATCAAGCAGCGGTGCTCCTGGAAGCAATCGGATTCGACTGCGACTGCCATGATCTCGAACGGCACCGATAGCCATATCCTTTTGCACTGTGATCTGTATCGCCGTAATCTCACGAAGAGAGTGCGGTTCGATGGTAGTTGCTAAGATTGTGCGGTGCATATCGTACGCATTCACCAGGCAATGTACAAGCTGTGGTACAACAAATAAAATGACCTCCGTATCTACACAGCGCTGAGAAGAGCAGCTTGTTCAAGGTAACTAGTTGGCCTCTGAAACGCTACTTTTGCTCTGATATTCAGCATAGGTTGAAAAGCAAAGACGCCCTCTGCAGAGTGCCGACGGACTTTAGCAGACTGCCTGAAGCGGCAGTAATGAAACCAGCAGTCGTCACTACACGTGAAGACTATTTGTGATGGAACAGCTATTCCCACGAGATATCAGCGACTCGTTAGCAGTTTTTAAGCCGACAGTACCACATGACGTCGTTATAATTCAGGACGGTAACACCATGATGCATGAGATGTTGGCCCGGTGCGAGATAGAAGCCTGTTTTTATGCTGCTCATTCAGTGAACCAAACCACGCAGCCATTGTCGCTACTTGAGAGCATGAGCGGCGCAGCAGACAATGAGTGAAGAGTGGGTAGCTTCGCCATGAGAGAACGCGCGAACTTCACTCCGAGATGGCCGAGACCGTCCTTTCCATGTGTCATGAAAACCGAATATCGCCCTGAACATGAATATTTTACAATTGGTCTGAGCAAGACTACACACGATCGAGACCCGCTCGACTCGGTGCGTAACCGGTTAGCGACGCAGCGCTAACTACTGCCCTATACCCAAGCAAAGGATTCATCAACATAACGTGTCTACTGGATAGCATATCAGTCGTAGTTTTGGGTGTACATGCTTAGGCAGTTTTCGATGGATAGAAAGAGCTTGAGAACGCTCCATGCGCGCCAATATTTGAGCGAGCGAAGCGATGGGAAGGCCGTGGGCACCAGACTCCCAAAGCTGCTTTTCGGAAGATAAAATGCGACCCATCGTCGTGCTCGCCAACTCACAAGCGGAAGATAATTGGCATCCACCCCAAATTGCAAACATAAATGTAAAACCATTTTTTTACCATCGCCTAGACACTGCTCAGTGAACAAACTGACGCTTGTCCCCCGTCGCGCGCTTGCCGTACGGGTTGTCGGCACTGAAAGCGTGTCCCGAGCGCTGAAACTTGCCGCCACGCGAGTTGCCATCATTTTCAAACGATTGGCCCTTGCGCTTCCCTGCCTTTCCATTCGTCTTCACGGGAAGCGTCACCTTGGGCGGAATCTGGAGTCCGAACGACTTGGCAACTCCTTGCAGGTCGAGTCGGCCGACATCGAATATACTCTTTAGCGAGTGCGAAGCGTACGCCAGCAAATAACCACGATACGCATCCTTGGCGGATTTGTGCAGGTAATACGTCTTCTCCACGAGTTTCATCAATTGCGATTCAACGTTGGCAATCTTTGAAACAGGGAACTCGTACTCATTCAACGCCACCCTTGAAGCCTTGAGGTACTTCAAAAAGCCAAGTTCATCCGGCAAAAGCATGAGCAATGCCTTTCCCTTACCCTTGGCGCCACGAGCTGTACGACCCACGCGGTGAATGTACTCGCGCGGGTCATCAGGCGGGTCAAACTGAATGATCCAGTCAACAGCCGGGATGTCAAGGCCTCGCGCCGCCACATCGGTACAAAGCAAGATGCCTGTCTTCGCGTTACAGAACTGGAAGAACGTCGTCGTGCGCTTGTTTTGTTTTTGCTTTCCGTGAATGTCCAGCACAGGAATGTCGATGTAATTCAGAAGTTCCCCGTAGAACTTGACAGCATTGCACGACGAGAAGAATACCATCACTTTCTTCTTCAGATTCTTCTTGAGAAACGTAAACAGCAACAGGAAGCGCTTGTCACTCGGGGTAACGACGTAACCCTGCTCCAGCGTTGCCACCGTAGCCTTGGTGTCCTCCTCTTCGACGCCAACATACACTGGCTTTTCCTTGATGGATAGACGAGCAAGGTCCTCTACCTTTTTCGTCTGCGTCGCACTAAACAGCATCGTCTGGCGCTCCTTCGGTATGCACTTGATGATCTGACGCATCTCCTCCTCGAAACCAATCGACAGAATACGATCGGCCTCGTCAATCACAAGAATTTGCAGGTTGTGGTAAACGAAGGCTTTCGTGTTCTGCAGGTGATCCAACAGACGGCCGGGCGTAGAGATGAGAATGTTCACGCCTTTAACCAAGCGCTCGGCCTCGGCGCGACGGTTTGCACCACCCATGACGATACCGTGCGTCTGTGAGTGATATTTGCAGATGTCGCGCACGACACCGTATATCTGCAAGGCCAGCTCGCGAGTCGGAGATATCACAATGCATCCCGTGCCTTTGCGTGCCGTGAAACGCACTTTGTGCAATAGCTCAACCGCCGGAATCAAGAAAGACAGCGTCTTTCCAGAACCTGTCTTGGCTGCCCCAAGCAAATCCTGGCCAGCCAACAACGGACGAATCGACTTGGACTGGATCTTAGTCATCTTTGAGAAGCCCATGTCAGCCAGCGCCTTCCGTGTGGGCTCAGACAAGGGCAGCGAAGCAAAGCCCTCGCCGCTAAAGTAGCGCTCGTCCACACTGCCGTCGGCCTGGCAAAGTCTAGCAGCTTCACTAATCGCCTGCTCCGTTTCCTCATCCTGTTCATCGCCTCCAGCTTTCTCCGCAGCCTCTTCCTTGTCCACAGCATCAGACTCACTCGGTTGTGTTGCTGCCTTGTTGGCTTTTTCCGACGTGTCCTGCTTCTTCTTCGTCTTTTTCTTGTGCTTCTGCTTCTTGTCCGCGACCTCAGCACCTCCGGCCTCAACTGCTGGTGTCGTGGCTGCAGACAGTTCCTCCGTTGTGGCGACTACCGTCTTCGCCTCTGACGGATCTACCGCATCTCTGCGACGCGTCTTGCTCATTCTATCGAGCGGCTTCGTGTTGTGCACCTGTTTGAGACCCGTATGTAGTCGACACATCGCTTGCTCCACCTCATTTCAGTGCATTTGGCTGGCTGAGAAGCAGCCGCCAAATGCCGTACTGGGATTGGATGATAGCTACGTTCTCTCCTATGTACGATCTCAGGGAACAGCCTGTCAACTGGTGCCCTCCGTCTCGGGCACAAGTCGCGTCTCTCCATTGACGATGCTGCGCCACGTTTCGCACGTCCTGCGCCGCACGCGACATGTCGTTGCGCCCTATCAACTCCGTGTTGTGCAAAGCACAGGTCAGTCGCGTGCAATGGGTCTTTTTTCGGATCTGAAGAACCAGTTCAAGCGCGAGGTAGAGACGAACGAGGAGCTCAAGAAATCGCTCGAGGAGCTACAAAAGACTAGAGAGCAATTTGAGCACGTGAAGAAGGCCGCCACGGAAAAGGTGAGTGTGATGGGCTCTATGACCGAAGAAGCGGCTCGGAGCTTCCAGAAACAGGCCACAGAGGCTTCCCAGAAGATCAAAGAGTCTCACTATGGGTCAGCCAAGACCGTCCGTACAGAGGACGGAGGCGAACAGGAAAAATCGACCAGCGAGACGTCGGCGGGTGGCGGCGCGGAGGAAGAGACGAAGAAAGCCGAAAGCGATCGCGAGGTGCGTTGACGAGAGTGCTGTGTCGTCTGTTGCTGCGTGTGTCTCCGTGTCTAATGTTGCTACATCGCGTAAAATCCATTGCGGCAGACGAACGAGTCGATGGAAAACGCGCGCGCCTTTGTGTCAAACTTTTTCGCGGGTATTGCTGCGCAAACGAACAGAGTCGTACGTTCTGGCAGTGTCTCGAAACTGCGCGACGGGTGGAAAGAGGCTGCGCAAGAGCTGTTTGGCAAGAAAGAAAAGCAGACAGTTGACGAGGCGCTGGCATCAGTCCGCACGCCGTCCATGAAGAAGTCAAAGACAGCAGAGCATGATGGCGATGGACCTGCGGCCTACACGGGCACTAGTGCGTTGGTGGCCGTGAAGGGGACGGACAGCGCATGGCAGCGTGTGAGTGCTCGCTTCCGCGAAGCCCCAATCATTAAGGGCATTCTGGACGCTGCGAAGCAGGCAGCAAAGACCGATGCAGGTAAAAAGGTGCAGCAGACGACAAAGAAGGTGAAGGACAAGATCAGCGATGCTCAGGAAGAGGTGCTGGAGGTTTGGGAGACGAGTCAAAACCCGTGGGTCTACAGGCTGTCGTCGATCTATGACGGCCTCTTCGGCGAAACTCCTATGGGTGTAGCCATCAAGGAAATCCGTCGGGCCGAGCCGGACTTTATCTTGGAGGAGTGGAAGGAGAACATTGAGAAAGTGGTCCTGCCAGGAGTGCTCGAGGCGTTCCTGCGTGGCAACAGCCGTGACTTGAAGAAATGGTTTGGCGAAGCAGCGTACTCGCGTGTGAACATCGCCATCCGCGAGCGCAAGTCGGAGGGTTTGGTGATGGACCCGCACGTGCTCAGCATCGACAACGTCGAGGTCATTGAGGCTACGGTACGGTTCGTTGATGTGCTCACGTGTGCGGTCGAGCTACTGGTGTTCGCTCTAACTCGTGTGATGCCACCCAGGCCGAAGACAAGCAAGCTCCGATCGTCCTGATGCGGTTCCAGGCGCAGCAGATCAACTGCATTCGCAACCGCGAGGGCGAAGTTGTCGAGGGGTCGGAGGACGAGGTGCTGGCCTACTACTACATCTTTGCCTTCCAGCGGGAGTACGACGAGGAGCTCGAAGCCCTTCGCTGGAGAATTGTGGATCTCCACATGCAGCGCGGCGGTCGCTATTATTAGAAACGGTGCATGGTTTCCACTATACGGAGACGGTGCAGTCTGATGTGCATTGAGTGAGTACGTGAATAGAACAGCAATGACTTTGAATATACTGACCCAACTCGCGTTGACGTTTCCTCGACCAGACGTTGAAGTTTCCGTGACCATCATTCCGTTGCGCATCGGTGCACTGAGAAGCACCTTCGCGCTCTCTTTCCCACTCCCTGTCGTCTAGTGCGCACAAGTAAAGCGTTGGCATACACAAGGGCAAAGCGAAGAATGAGAATCCCAAGGAGGTGCGCTCGGGCGGACCGAGAGGAGATAAGAGACCGCGTCCGTAACTCTTTTGCTGTGCGCAGGAAACACCACTCCCGAGAGAAACTCCGACTCGCCGCAATACTTCGCGTGAATAGCAGCGACGACGAAGACGAAGAAAGTGCGCGCTCGTATGAGCCGATCGATCTGCTTCAGGACGCGGGCATCAACGCGATTGACATCGTGAGGCTCAAGAACAATGGGTTCGCCACCGTTGGGCAGCTCTTCCAGGTGTCTCAGCGGAAGTTCTTGGGCATGAAGGGGATCGATGAAGCCAAACTCGACAAGGTACGAAGTTCTTTCGCTTTGGTTGGCATGGAAGAGACAGCTGCTAAGCTGACTCCTGTTCTGTATGCTTAGTTTCTCCAAGCAGGCAAAAAGGTCTGTGTACGATCGAGTGTGAGAGAGGCCATTCCGATGAACTGCACGACTCACATTGAACGTGTGGCCGCAGCTCATGCCCGAGAAGAGCGGCTTTGTCTCGGCCAATACACTCTATCTGCAAAGCCAGAGCAAGATGTTTATCACGACTGGATCTGAGCGTAAGTGGGACATGCGTTCGACCCTCACCTGTCCTGGACACTGAGTGTGTGTGCTGTGAGTCGTAGAGTTTGATCGGATTCTTGGAGGTGGCTTGGAAACGATGTCTGTCACGGAGGTAGACGATTGCAGCCTCGAACGGTACGCATAGGCCGAGTCTGATCACGTTGTTTGCGGCCATGCGCAGGTGCATGGCGAATTTCGAACTGGGAAAACGCAGTTGTGCCATACGGTAACACTTCATCGCCCATGATTGGACTGCAACGATGTAGTTGACGATCGTATGTGGTGTCGCCAGCTTTGCGTGACGGCACAATTGCCTCGTTCACAAGGTGGAGGAGCTGGTACGACACCACCTCTATGCAATCATTGACCCGCGGTGACTTGAACGTGTTGATGATGCACACTGAATCAGGAAAAGTCGCATTCATCGACACGGAAGGGACCTTCCGGCCGGTACGTGTTGCATACAATTTGTGTCTTGGACCTTCCAGAAGTGTCTACGCGTACTTGATAGTGCAGCCCCTTGCTAGAACCGTGTCGCCGAGATCGCAAAGGAACGATACAACCTGGTACAGACCCTTCTGCCTGGCTGCTTCTATGCATATGCCTTGAATGTTAATTGTGAGCATTTGCAGGATCCTCAAGAGACTCTCGACAACATCGTTGTAGCAAGGTCGGGCTTGCCACTACTTCCAGTGCTTGTTATGAAGATTCTGACGTTATATGCAGAGCTCACAGCCATGACGCTCAGATGGATTTCGTCACCGAGCTCGGCGTCTATTTCGCAGTATGTTTCGTTACACATTGTGTGTGGATCCATACCGCCTCATGCTTTACTGCATTCCAGGATCCTGACCAAGGTCCGTTCCGCGTGTTGATCATCGACTCGGTGACGGCATTGTTCCGAACGGATTTTTCCGGAAGGTGATGAAATGACATGCACGGTTCGCATGTTTTCGACTCTTCTTTCTGATACCGATACATTACGTCCGCGATATGCAGCGGAGAGCTGAGCGAGAGACAACAGCGACTTAACCAGCACCTCGTTCGGCTCGTAAAGCACGCCGAGGTAAGTGATCAGTACCGATGTTGTCAGTTTTGGCGGGTTTGTGGGACCAATAACCACCCCTTTCGATGTAGGAATTTAATATTGCGGTTCTAGTGGTCAACCAAGTTATGGCTGATCCTGGAGCTAACTCGATGTTTGGTTCCGCGATGAAGCCTGCCGGTACGGACAAAGTCAATGACCTTTGTGATGCAGACAGTGCTTACTTTTGTCGTCGTATCACTTTGCAGGTGGTCATGTGATGTCTCACGGAGTCCACACGCGCGTATTGGTATGTTGCCGAGAATGAGCGAAGAACCGGTCACGTTTATGACGGCTCTATATGATGTGATGTAGATGAAGAAGGGGAGAGGCGAAAATCGCACATGGTACCGTTGGCTTATCGTATTTTGGCATGACATACGCCTTCTGTAAAATTGACGAGACCATAATGTGCAATGCGTCGCGCAGCAAGATTATCGATAGTCCGTGCATGCCTGAGGCAGAATGCTCGATCAAGCTGTGCACAGGCGGAATATCGGACTCAGACGACTAATTAATTCAAGTGCAATCGATTCTTCGGGTTTATTTATCTCTAGCGCATATTTTACTTGTGCATCGCTCCTACAATTCTGGCGCCACATTTTCTTGCCTTCGGTCGTCCAAGGCATACCATGTCGGGTTGTAGGAGCACTCCACATCAGGATTTATGTTTGTCACGCCGTGCTTCAACTCCAACGGCAGCGCTTCCAGGTCCTTCCCCACGCAATCGACATGTTTGTGCAACACGTGCATGGCGAGGATCAACAGTGTCGACGGTTGGTGCGTCATTGTGTATCGGAATACATCGTTGTTTCGCTGAACGCCGTTCGATCCACCAAAGACAAAAATGCGGTCGTCGTAAGCGACACTTGTGTGAAAGTCACAAGGGTCCGGCTGACAACTCTCCTCGTTCTTACTGAGGATTCGCCATTCTCCAGTCCGCAAGTTCAGCTCACTCAGCTCGTTTTGTCTCGAGCCACTGTCGTCGCGCCCACCAAACATGATCAATCGGTACGGGTCGCTGGAAAATTGGGAAATCGTGTGTGCGATGCGCGACTTCGGGATGTTGCCACTGCATTCCACGTCGTGCCATTCGAGCGTACCCAGATCGAGGTAGTACGTGTCAATGGGCCCTGTGGCAGGATCATAGAGCCCGCCCCCAATTACATACATGCGGTTGTCGATCACGGTCGCTTGGTGCTTGTACCGCGGACTCGGGCGCCTGCCTCCGGTCTCTTCCTTCCTCCAGACCCTCGTCGCTTCATCAAAGATGTACAAATCGTTCACGTACACATGTCCAGAAGTGCCGCCAAAAAGGTACAGCTTGTTGTTATTGGCACACATAGTCTGACCATACCCTGGTGGCGGGTGCGTGCCCTGTGCCTCAACGATCGTCCAGCTCTTCTCGCGTATGTCAAACTGCAGCAGTTTTCCCATGTTGGTCTGTCCCCAGTGCGGTCCTGATCCACCGAACAGGTAAAGCTTCGTCGTATCCGTTGACGCACACCAGGCATGAGACGCACGGCCGTCTGTGGGACGAACATCGTATCAAAAGGTATGGGCATTAGTGCTCAAGCTACAGTGCAAGATTCGAAGGTAACGTCGTACCAGGAGAGACGCTGCTCGTCTTCTCAATGAGCTGCCAATGGTGCTGAACCAAATTAAAGGCGTAGATATCGTTGTGACAATTTCCGTCGTTGTAACCTCCGAAGACGTACATCACGTCGCCGACTGGAGACAAGAAGGAGCGTCAGTACGCCTGCGACGCCTGCGCTGGCTGCGATCGATCAGCACGTACCAACCAGAGAAGAGTGGCCGCTCCGCATGGGAGGCCGATGGCCGGACGTCGAGATCTTGGTCCAATTCGACGGTGTATCCTCTGCAAACAATACCACAGTGTCGCGATTAGCATGACGTCCAAGTTGGCATCTCTCTGGGTACACGAGACCCAGGCGCTATCGCCAAGAGCAAGCCCAACCTTGTTCGCTTTCCTCGTACGACAGCTCAGAGCCGAGAAAACCAAAGCGCCGTGCGATGGGTGAGTTGACCCAGTGCGGACTGCGCAGCAGTTTCAGCAAATCGTCGAACATGTCGTTGCGCGGATGTGAAACGCGGGTGCGCTTGGAAGCCGCAGATGGCAAGTTCGATAGTGCGGTAGGTCGCGTTTGCCCTGCGCTTCTGACTACTGGTACTCTCGAAAGTACGTCCAACTCTTTCTTTGTCGCTTTGGCTGTTGTTTCCTGCCTCAAGAATGGTCGTTCACCGCTTAGTAGTTGCAAGTACCTTTGACTTTATATGCATCGCACTCTCTGACGGCTCTTATTATGCGCTATTCATAGTTTCTTACTCACCCAGCTCGGCAAGTACGAAACCCGTTGTTCAGCCCTGAGCTAGTGGGCGATAGATGAGACGTCACGTCATGTCGCCAAGTCGTCCAAGTGAGTAACGCTCTAGTCCAGAGCCACGAACAGAGAGAGCGACCACGCGAATACTGGCCACAAATCCGATTGTAAACAACTCGTCGTGTCGGGCATGACAGCTCTCGCGTGCGACTCGGTCAGTACTGACTGACAACGAGGTAGCGCACAACGGGGCGAGAAGAGGGCGGACCATCCATTCTTCAGGTCTCCGTATGTTTTTAGCAGCTCGGCTGGTCGCTTGACGCGATTTAGCAGACGAGCAGTAATTTCGAGGTCGACCAGACACGTGGTAGCTGCTGCAAATACAAAGTCCGCCTCTTGTGCGGATTTTCACAGACGAGGCGGAAAGGACACTTGTACTATATCTTCGTTTTGTTTAACGGCTACGTCAGCGATGTTGAGGCCACCCATAAAGTGGGCACCAAATCCCGTCAGTCACGTGTCGAGCTGGCGCCAAATGCGCCAGAACGTCGGCAAGGAAGCAATCATTGCTTCAGACACAGACAACTATAGTGGCACTCCTCCGTCATGTACGGTCGCGTCTGCTCGTCTCCGTAATTCGCACTTACGTGCATCGAAGGTGCCACCCACGTTTTCCGATTGCCGCCCGCCCGCACGGCGCTAGCGAACGCAACGTCATATTCGGATTTTACGCCGATGCAGTCCAGACGCGTGACCAATGTAACGTCGAGTGCCACGTGCGGGTCACAGCGAACGTAGTGAGACGCCTTAGCCGTTGCACTTTAGGAGCTCGAGTGATGCATGCTAACCAGCAAGGCGCTGGCCGTTTGCCGGGGTGCGTCTTCCATCATCTATTTTGACGACAATGCGACCGTGGTAACTGCTTTTCGAGCGCTACACAGCACAAATGGCGATCACGCGAGAGGTCGTCGCTATGCAAATAATGTAGTTCATCGACAATCTCAACACACGCCTTGTCGCGACCGTATTAGCCAACGCAACAGATCCCTTGCCACAAGCTCGCAGCTCCTTCGGGCTCCAACGATCTTCATCTTTCGAGCTTCCACGTTTCATTCGCGCTTGGGGACCATTTGACATCGCGTTCCGGATCCCACACTATCTAGGTCGGACAAACGGCCGTCGCCGTACGATTTCGGCAATGCTGGTAGCCGCACGGGTTCCCTTGTCCCGTTGCCATTTGTAGCGTAATCGCCATCGCAAGAAAGTGAGACGAAACGGACACGTCGATCCGCAACCTTGATACAGATGGTTGTCGATACGTGTGGTCTCTACATCGCTTGCCAAAATTTAGCTTTGACCACTACTCTCGTTCTTTCTACCATTGCCCGACCGCAGCCTTCGTGTCTACTTGTGGACCCTGCCATTCCACGGTGCGCTTCATCGACAATGCTGGTCTCATGTTTGTTTGTATTTCCCCCCTTCTGACGCCTCCCCACTCTCACTTTCGCTGTTGAAGCAGCTACGTCTCTCCTAAGGCTTGAAGATATGAGCTGCAATCTCTTCAGTTCATGTTTTATCCTTTAATGCAACGCAATTCTGCATGTGAGGCGGTCGTATTGCGTCCTCGTGCTAGCTTCTTCGCACTGGATGCTCAGCATGACAGCAGAATGTAGAAGCTTGTCGCGTGCGCTATGATCGGCTTTCCACATCCGGCTTGAACCTTCTTATTGGACGCAAAGCACATGGACATGATCGGTGCAGTCGGCGTGGTCGCTTTCTCAACGCATGCATTGTTTCCTTTTCACTGAACAGGCGACGAAAAAAAGCAGCTCTTGTAGACGTTGCGTTCTTCTACACGGTCCGAGATGGACGTGCAGTTCTTCATTGACATGCGCCCTTGCCGTACTAAAACATGATGTCACTCGACTTTGTGTCTGCACGCACAGTTCCGCCCTGTTGCTTTCGTGTGCGATCGCTACTGGAGCTGATATTCGAGAGTACGTGTTTTCCACTACGACTTCTGTGCGTGTGCGAAACTTCGCGCGCGTTTCAAGAATTTCTGACAGGAAGGAGTCTCCATATATATAGTTAGTAGTGAATCGAAACTCCGATGCTTTCGTTACAGCTCGCTGCATCTGTAACGAAAGCATCGAGTTTTCGATTCAATTCGCTTTCTCTCGCTTGCTTGTGTGGTAGTAGTGGATACAAGAGATTCGTTAACTTTGTCTCCGAGAAAAGCTGCGCAATATCATTTCCACGTGTGCTATTTCTGAACGGTTAGCACTGTGAGGACGACCACTCGAACGAGCTTCGAATGGCGCGACTCGATCAAATGCTGTGTCGAAGCCGGTTTCATAGCTTTGACTGCATCGGCTCACACCTAGATGATGGGGGCACTGAACCGACAGCAAACTAAAAGAGCGGCCAGACTGGGCCGGATAGTGAATGATCTGCTGCGTCCTGCCCTCGTCCATCGGTCCGCGAATTTTTGCGTTTCGTCTTGTGGTATGGGGTGCAGCCTGTCCAGGATCCGCGCGCGAAGTGAAGCGCCGACGCACTTCAACTTAAGCCGTCGCACGCAACACGCATATGGTTTTTCACGAAAGATGGTGTGAGGTGCTGTGGGATCCGCCCATCCACCCTATTCCCAGCAATGGGGCAATTGATTGAAGACACCTTATTCGAGGTAAGAAATCGCTCAATAAGATTTCCTGATCACCAAAATCGCTCTCCTCTTGTCCCATTCTGCTGGCCCGAGACGTCGAGCTTCACTAGGATCACTTTGCGAAGGACAGGCGTGACAAGCAGCCCAGCCCGGGTACATGCAGCGCTCAGAGGGCGAAAGGGCAACACATACCACTTATACCGGACATTAAGTACGCTGCAAATTGCGCCCAGGCGACATGGAAGATTCAGCCGTCGAAGTGTGCGTCGAATGTTGACGAATGTCTAGCTATCGTGAAGATCTTAGTATCACACGATGAGACATTGTAGATGTCCGTAGCTGTCAGGGAGAAGGGCATGCTTCTATGAGCAACGGGTTTCAATCTAGTTGACTCACCAGAAATGGACCTACACAAATTGTACCCAATTTCTATTCCTCGAGAAACTTATACTCTGCCCATAAGAATGTCTATGCAACGTCGTATAGTCATTCTTCTGTCGTAGTTTTTACCAGACAAGTGCACAAAAAGAGTATTGAATTATAAACGCCACAAACACAAAACTGCGTCATGTATTTGGCCAGCACACAATTTACTCAAGAAGTATTATGTCTCTGCTTTCTCCGAACGGCGGCCAAAGTAGACACTAAATCTGGGGATTCGAGACGCAAGCGCAGCAAGCGTCAATGTTTCATAAATGTTTTAGGTTGATGAAAAAAACAATGCTGGCAATTTCTGCCTCCGTCGAACGCATTCCTATGAGGTCCACATCAGTGTCGCCAACTCTGACTATGAACGAGGGCTGTTCGAACGTACCTGGAAATTGTCGGTATCCTGTGGCTTGTGTCAACGAGTGATGCGAGTTTGTCGTCGAGCACATTATTTCAGAGGAGATAAGGAGTTGAATTAAGGTGGGGGGACCAGCGCAAATTTGCTCGGGCTACCCGACTCTACACTGGGACCAAGACGACCGACTATCGTAGCGGGTACTAGAAATCTGCATAAATGTTTTCTTTCAAATCTTTTGTAACTGTCGGTAGATCGAATTGAACTACCCACAAGTGACTGAACTCAACATGAACTTGAAAGGTCATGATACAGATTTAATTGCCCAAACATTCGCGCAATCGCAAGCATTGTTCCCTTCCTCAATACAAGCCACCATGAGATGCCTTAAGATCGCCTCGAGTAATTAAAATCTCTGGGTGCTTGATCTGGTGCCTTCCATACGATTCTCGTGACCTCAAATTGGATTATTACCTCTAATGATTGCGGCGTACGATCGCATTTGGATCTGTCCTGTGTGTAATATTAAGCTCGTTCCAAGCGCTCCAGCACGGTGGTATAGTTGATGTAGAACTGAAACGTAGATCGACTTTATCCCTAAAAATATGTTTGAGAGTGAAAGTTGGTCGCGTGATTAATCATGACGAGGCTGGTTCTTGGCGGGATCCTTCGTCCTGCAGCGATCTGAACTCGTTATATGTCGTTGACACCAGAACTGGGTCAATTGAAATATTGTCGTTATTAATTTCATTCTTAGATATTTACCAGGCCAAGTTAATATCCCATAGGGGCTCGTATTTTGACTGGCGAAGAGATAAAAGTCACTTTCGCGCAGTCAAAATTTACTGGACGTGCCGTAAATTTGACCTTAGAGCTCAAGCAGCAAGACCGTATGCATTCATTTTGGTCATTAGTTACCGTGAAAACTGGCCCAGATAAGAGATTGGGCCGCCAAGGGCACAGTTCGGAGCTCGATACGAGCTCCTGAAGATTAGGCGAATTATAATCAGGAAGTGCGCGCTTACGCTCAGCACATTCGATGATATGAGAGTTGTGTCACGGCCATTCTTTATATACACACGTTTATTGAGGTGCTCCTGTTTAATTGATTACCCTTTAAAACCTTTCTGCTCCACCTGATATAGACATGCTCAAAAAAGGGATATTTGTGATAGAAAAGGAAGATTCGACCCTAAGACAGGCTATTTACGTCAACACGGGTTTTTGTATTTTTCCAAGACGGCAGGAGGTCCGATGTAACGAGGCACTGACGACTACGTACTGGTTGACCAGTACGGA